TACAAAGTTTTTTCTGCATGTGAAACGGATGATTCCTAGACGCTTTTCTTCTTCCTTGACAACAGAGCAGAACATCTTGTGTAAATGAATATGCACGAAATGCATGACATTTTTCGAGAAAGGTGCCAAAATCTACTAAACCACAATCCGACTTGACTACTCTGTAATCTAACCAGGTCCTCACTCGCGGTAAGCTGGCAACGGCCACAATAAGGGATCAAATGGCAGGTCGAACCATTCTTGCGCTGCTACAGTAGTCCTGAAGAATTTTGATGCATACCAAATCTGCTGGCTAACGAGCATCTGGTGACTGACTTTTGCAGAGCTGAAATTCTAATGTTTAAGAAAGTTTTTTCTAATGCAGGAAGAGTGCTAAAGATTGCAAGTTATGGTTCACATAAATTCCTGACTAATGCATGATGCCATCGTTTCGTCATTTCGTCTACCTTCTAAACGGAGAATAGAAAATTCTTGGCAAACTTGACAAGCTGCTTCCAGATTACTGGAAATAATTGTAGTAGTTACTCGCGGTTCTTCTTACATTAAATACAATGAGCACGAAGCTCCCATCCTCCTGTCCACACTGGTCACAGAGCACTGTCATGATCAAAGAAAGATAGAAAGAAAGATACTACTGAGCAGACCCGTAAAGAAGGCATTAACCATTCAGTTGTCATATGTCAGTGTGATCAACGCAACAATCAAAAAATCAATCCTAATATATTCTTCAGTTTAGGTACGAGTAAATGTTCTACTCTCGCCTTCCGTCAATGTCTGGAATTGTAATCTAGCCTGCTCTCCTACTTGTCGTGAACAGGTTTCTAAAATTGTAGTGGAGTCATGCGGGTTCTTATTTAACTTCCAGGCTGTTAAATCTGCATCTCTCACCGTCATAGAACAGAGTAACAAAACTGAAGCGAACTGCATTTATTATGTAACATCGGCAACTTTGTTTACAGAAACCTCAAACAATTTTGACCTCATGTCATTTGCCATTTTTTCTGTGAGAGTTTTCAGTCAGTGTTCCTCGTCTTGCTATTGAACTTCGACGATCAACAACGTCCAACAATCGAAGTTTTTAACTGACTCGTCATCGAATATTTAATATTCCAGAGTTTCCCTCTCCGTTGGGTATCTAGTGAATTGCCTGCCAACCTCTTAGTGCTTGAATCGGATTCGGCTCTTCGTTTGGCTGGCATCGAATCGCATGGCTGAGTAACGAGTAGCTACCAAGCGGGCGTTTAACAATTCAGAGAAATCAGAGAAAAGTTCAAGGAAAACTTCCAGGGGAAGACAATCGTAATGGGTACTCGTCCAAACAACGGTCGTAGCTTA